TTTGTGCATCATTCAATATTTTTCCCATAGAACCTTTGGGCAAATTAAACTTGAGGCTTAAATTTTTTCTTCAGTTCTTTCAGCTTGAGAAATGCCAAGCGTATTCTTCCCTTTTGGTTTTCTAACTCCAGGTCTTTGCACAATTTCATTATAGTAATTGGCTTTGTCTGCTCAGGCTGCACTTTGAAATCTTCTGTTTAGCTCTTTTATCTTGTCATTTCTTCCATTGGTTTTAGCTACTCTCCACTCAAGGGCAAGTTTCAGAGTCTTTTCTGACATCCATTTTGGTCTTTTCTTCTTTTCTCATCTTTTTAATGACCTCTTGCTTTCTTTGTGGATGATGTTCTTGATGTCATCCCACAAATCTTCTGGTTATCAGTCATTGGTGTTCAGTGAATCAAATTTATTCTTTAGATGGTCTCTGGGAGCTCTGGTGGCATAGTGCCTTAGGCATTTCACTGCTAACCAAAAAGCTGGATGTTCAAACCCACCAGCCACTCCTTGGAAGGAAGACTGGGCAATCTACTTCCATAGAGATACTGCCTCGGAAACCCAAGGAGCGGTCATGAGTTGGATTCAACTCAGTGGCAATGAGTTAGATGTTCTCTAAATTCAGGGATATTATCAAGGTCATATTTTGGCTCTTATTGACTTGTTTTAACTGTCTTCAACTTCAATTTGAACATGCATATGAGCAGTTGATGGTCTATTGCACAAGCTCCTGGCCTTGTTTTGGCTGAAAATATTGAACTTCTCCATTGCCTCTTCCCACAGATGTAGTCAGTCAGATACCTGTGTATTCCATCTGGTGAAGTCCACAAGTATAGCCATCACTTATGTTGTTGAAAAAAGGTATTTGCAATGAAAAAGTCGTTGGTTTTGCAAAATTCTATCATGTGATCTCCAGCATTATTTCTGTCACCAAGGCCAAATTTTCCAACTACTGATGATTCTTCTTTGTTTACAACTTTTACATTCTAGTCACCAGTGATAATTAACACATCTTGATTGCACGTTCAGTCAATTTCAGACTGCAGAAGTTGATAAAAATGTTCAATATCCTCATCTTTTGTTTTGGTGGTTGGTGCATAAATTTGAATAATAGTCATATTAAGTGGTCTTCCTTGTAGGTGTGTGGTTATTATCCTATCACTGACAGCATTGTACTTCAGGACAGATCTTGAAACATCCTTTGTGGTGATGCCACACCATTCCTCTTCAAATTGTCATTCCTGGCATAGTAGATCATATGGTTGTCTGATTCAAAATGGCCCAAACCAGTCCATTTCTGCTCACTAATGCCTAGAATATCAATCTTTATGCATTCCATTTCATTTTTGACAACTTCCAATTTTCCTAGATTCATACTTTGTACATTCCATGTTCCAATTATTAATGGATGTTTGCAGCTGTTTCTCCTCAATATGAGTCGTGCCACGTCAGCAAATGGAGGTCTTGAAGCTTTACTTTATCCATATCAGTA